CTTCTGGGGCTGTGCAATTATGCTAACAACAAATGAATCTGATCTAATCTGACAGACTCTTTTCACGGCCCAGTCTCCCCTCACGGCTGTGAGCGGGAGTAGGAAGGCTTTAAAAAGCACTTCTTTCCATTCTTGCCACCTCATCTTTTAAGTGTGTAATTCTGGAACAAAAACTTGTATTCAAAGAAGTGAAAGGCAGAATAAATAAAAAAATAAATAAAAAACCCACAACACAGGGAGTTGCCATAGAGCTCAGCCTTCCTGAAAAGCTTTTCAGGCTGTAACTTCGGTGCGGAATCCCTTTGCAATGTATTGGAAACGATTAGGAAATATCAGCCAAATCCGAGGTGGGGGCTTACAGCACCCAAGCGAAATGACTTTAAAGGCGCTCCCGCAGATAGCACTCACTGTGTATCTTCCCCGAATCCCCTATTCTATAATTCTACAAAAATTTAAAAAGACCTTTTTTTATTAAGAAGTCTTCTAATGATACATGGATGCATTTGTGCCGGGGTGTAGTTATTTGTATGCCCACTTCCCCACACCACCAACCCACCAGGGATGTGCAGACAGTTCAGTTTGCAAAAACTCTGGCTAATCTAAATTAGCCTCAGGAAGGAATAAAATACTGTACCTGCTTCCCTACCTGGGTAAAGAAGGGCTCATAGATCTCCACTCCTTTATCAGACCCTTGCAGCAACACCTCCTGGCCGCGTCGCCAGCTGTACCGAACGGGCGGATTGGAGTTGGCGACGCACCGGAGAAACACCGTTCTCTCATAGTAAAACTGCTCTTTCGCTTCCCCGATGCTCTGGTGGACCGTTACTATTGGATCGTCCAAATCTGGAAAGACAGAAAAAAAACCCCGCGATGAAGTCAGGCTTCAGCTGGTCCCGCAATGGTTCTACAACGGGAAGCGCGTGCATCGCCTTCTGCACCGGTCAAGAGCAAAAGAGAGGCCATCCAGCTGAAAAAGCCACAAAGGCACATTTTAGGACTTTTTGCAGCAGAATCCAGTTTTAGAGTTTGTTTTTTGCCTGCACAGGACCTAGCATACCTGGATCTTCACTCACAACTCCGGCTTTGGGATATAGCAATAAATACGATATCGTACATGCTAATGACAATTGTATTTCGGTAGTTCCCACCAACGCTTAGGTTTCATCTGGTTTTCATCTTTACTACTTGTTTCTTATGTATGATTTTAATTTAAACGTCGCTTAGACAAAACAGTTTATAAAGCTTTGGAAATAAATAGACAGACTAATTTGCATCCTAATGGTAGGATCCACTAGAACACAGATCATGTGCATGCATCTGTTTTCCTTAAAAGCAGCAATTTAATACAGTAATTTAATGCATATTCCCTTCTTTCAGTTACATGCATTTAACTTCAAGCAGGTAAATTCATCACAGGCTGTAGAACACACTTCTCTTGATTAAAACACAGATAGGATATAATTACTCCCACCGCGTCAGCTCACAGAAAATCAGACCTCCACAACAGAATTCACTCATCTTATATAGGGGAGAAATAACGATAGCCCTTGGAATGTGAGTACACCCAATTCATTACTGGGCTTGGTTCCATCAGGAACAAGTAGATTCCCGTTTGCAGGGTTTTACTATTGTTTACTAGGAGCTTTCCGTGGAGGTACAGTTATGATGAAGAAGGAAAAAAAAAAAAACAAACCAAAGTAAAAAAGGCAATGGCCACTTTTACTAAGCAGTGGTTAAAACCACTCAACCTCCAAGTAAGGTGGTCAGCAATTCTCCAGTGAGCTTTAGGTAGAAGTAACCCTACGTGGAGGGCTGGCAGCCAAGGGCAAGTTGTTGGTACGCTGAGCGCCTGTGTTTCAAAGGTATGCCCAGGTTTGGCTCCTGCAGCTACAACAGAGGCACAGATGCCGCTACCCACAGAGCGTGGGAACAACTTGCCCAGTTATAGCTGTACTGACCCGGTCTGCACACACACCGTGACAGCAGCTTCCCATGCGCGACTCAGCCTTGACTGAAACAATTTCAGAACTTTATCAGCAGTGCTTCTTCCATAAAGCAAAATATAAATAATGCTTTAAGTATTTCTTAATTACTCATCCGCAAATTTAACCCTATTTTTGCAAAGTCTTGTGTGAGTAACCATCCAAATGCCAATTCATCAGATTTATTTGAGGCCACGATTCAGTGAGATGCTGAACGAGGTTCTCAGATCTTAGCATGATCACCAGTGTCAGAGGGAACGTGACCATGCTCCCCTTTCGAGTCCCTTTCCAATGGTGTTGGAAACAAGGACAGTGGTCTTGGGGGAAGCATCACATGCATTTTGCTCCCATGTCCTTTCACCAAGTGCCAGCCGAACACCACCGCAACCACCGCAGTGTATTGCGCCAGATGGACCATCAGCATAGCAGTTCCTCAACAATTTGGGCGGTTGATAGTTTTATAAACTAGGGGATTATTAAAGGATGGTCATCATTAACAATCTGAATAGATTAGCATGTTTCAAACTTTCACACTGAAAAGCAGTTTACACTTAAAAATTATTCTTTAGATGCTTATATTTTGATTTGCATAACAAGAAGAAAGGTTGAGAGTCTCTTGATTAATTAGAAACAAAACATTCCAAAATTTGGAATAATTCAAGCAATAATATCTTGTAATAGCGCACAGATTTTAAGCAAATGTTACCTTTATTCTACTCAATAAAACATTTAATTTAATATCACAGAAACAAATTATGAAACTGTTGCTCCAAATTAGGATGGCATTTTCTAATGAGAATTCATTTTTGTTTTAAAGGTCATTTTAAATCACAGTAGCATTTGAGAAGAGATGAGATTGCTGAAACGTTATGTCTTCTACTCATGCAATACAAAATAAAAAGAAGGAAATTAGATTGCTTCAATTTCTAGGCCAACACACCTGTTCCCTGTATTTTGATGAATAACAGAACATTTCACACATGAACGCTTTCTGGCATCTACTTGTTGAAGCACATCCTTCGACCACAAACAAGGATGACCGGCTGCCAAGAGCCTCCAACACCGAGCCAGGGGACCACTCCTGGAATCCCTCACCCTCAGATGAAGGTGCATGCCCTCAGGTGAAACACGCAACAAGTCCAAGTCTTGACTCAGCTTCATTTTGATGAAGTTAATCAAGACTAGACAGACTAAACCACTAAAAACAGAACTTAAGGCAAGGCCTGCCAGGGTAAGGTTGCAATCAACACCCCAACACAAAGCAGGTAGGCTGAGGCTGACCAGCCAGAAGACACCTTTGCAGAAGAGGCCTTGGAGGTCCTGGTGGAGAAGCTGAAGAGGGGGTGAACAGGGCCAACTACACCCCAGGCTGCAATAGCATGAGTGCAGCCAGCAGGTCCAGGGAAAGGATCCTTCTCCTCTATCCCACATCTGTGAGCACTCTGTCCAGGTCAAGACGTGGACATAGTGGAGCAAGTGCAGAGGAAACCACCATGATTATAAGAGGGTTGGATCAGGTGTCACAAAAGCAGATGCTGGAGTAGCTGGATTTGGCCAGCCTGGTGAAGATAGCATGAAGGAATGATCTAATTTCTGCTTACTGACTACTGGTAAGTTATAGAGAAGATGAAGGCAAACTCTTCTTAGAGGTGCAGACTAAAAGACCATGAGCCGATAGTCATAAGTAGCACCAAGATAAATTCGTCCTAGTTACAGGTGAAAAAAAAATTCCCCGTACAATCAGACAAGTGTCCAGAGAGGCTGTGGAACATCATCCTCGGGGACATCCTTATCTTGACTAGACACAGTCCTGAGCAATCTGACCTAACTCTGAAGTTGGCCCTGGTTTGAGCAAGGGGTTGGACAAGAGGTCTTTCCAACCTAACAGCAAAGTTGGCCCTGGTTTGAGGGGTTGGACTAGAGGTCCTTTCCAACCTAAATTACTCCATGATACCATGAGCTATGATGGATGGATTTCGGTAAGAGTATAAGGAAACCTCAAAGAGATTTCAGTTGGGAATGCTAATTCAGCAAGCCCTCTGCCAAAGCATTTCATAATGGTCAATTAATAGAACATTGAGGAAAGCAAAAGCGGCAGCAGGAAGAGGAGACAAAATAACGCTGGCAATTGTTGTGAGATTTCACTGAAAACTCAACTGCCTGCCCCGCTGCTGGGCAGGGCTGGACAAATGTTTTACTGGTTTGTTCTGGAAGACCGTATTTCGCTCAGGCAGCGCGTAGAGCTGCGAACGTAATACGAAGTATGCTTTTTTCATACTGCTGCCAAGGTATTCTGCAGAGTTATCACAACGGGGGCATGCAACTGCCAAATTCATTGCCTTTAGACAGGCTATTTTAAAGCCACCTGACCTCGGTGGCTTTGATTGTGAAAGCTCTACAGAGCTCTGGTTTCAATGTCTAATTGAATTCTAGTTGATATTCAAATTTAAAAATAGACTTCAAAAAAAAAAAACCTATTTAAAGCTCTGTGCATATGTGTAAGTATCTGTGGGTGGGTGTTCTTCCCTAGCAGCACTGGAACAGTCAGGGACTCGGAAATCTGGGAGGGAAGCTATGGACCTCAGATATTGCAGAGAAACTAACCTGGGAGGAGGAACGAGAGGAAATCACTGAGGAGACAGGGAGATCTTACTGCGACGGAGAAAGATCTAGCATCGGGAAGCTCAACAAGATGAATTTCTCAAGTGCTTTACAAGAGGAAAAAAAAAACCACAAAAATTTTCACTTTGCGTTGATCAAATTATGAAGAGTTAACTGACTAATCATTCTTTAAATTAAATTGAAGTCATGGGTGTTGCTAGGCAGTTAAAGTCTATTAATCAATATGAAAATAATTACAGAAGTATGTTTTCCACAGAGGTTTATGCCACCATTAGGTTCAATTTTTCAGTCTTTAATCTTTGAATTGAACCAAACAGATTCCAAAACCCAGATGGCACAGGCACGCTAAGCGCTGTACTGGAGGAATTCCCTTCACACATCCCTAAGCTCTTGAACAAACAGAAACCCCAGTATGAGCTCTTCAAAATGGGTCTAATCTAAATGCGCTGTGGATTGCACCACCATGGTTGGAGATGTTGGTGTGGAAGGTGCAAAGAAGTGTGGCAGACACTATTAATATATTAATATCCTCTCTACGCTGAATTGCAAAGCACTGGAGGCACGGCACCGTCTGCGAGCAGGAAAAGCAGACCACCTCCTGCAAGACTCCCCCGAGCTCCAGGGGAGTTTCACACATAGAAACAGGAGCGGAGGATCAAGGGCTATATTTGCTATATCGTCCTTTTTTCAACTGCTGGGACTACACAGCTTGCTGATTTCATTTGTTAATTAGCTGTCTTTGTCTTCAGATGTTCAAAGCAAGCAACGCTTGGAAGTCAGGATAATAATAAAGCACGCATCTGGTAAACTGATTGAAACAGCTTCATCAAGACAGCCAGAGAGGAGACAGCAGTGACGCATATATTTAGACTGCCTAACTCGTAAGTTATTCTTAAATATTAAAGTACAGTGTTTTTCATCCTGTTTTCCTCACTATAGCCTTCTTGACCTAGCACAAGCCATCGATAATTACGTAGGTTTGAAGTGCTTTGTGGTACTGTATGACATAAAGCAATTACACACAATTTAGAAAATGCACAGAAATTCAACAAATACCTATTTCTTGCATACCTCTGAAAAGGATAACGAGCTGTCTTGCATGCCACCCATTAGCACATGCAGCGTGGAGACAGAAGAGCTCCAAACAAGCTGGAAACAGGGGAGCCAAGTTACCTGGAGCTCCATATGAGATATTTTCCCCTCTACAGCCCTTTAAAAGAGCTTTCTGATGCATCTGCA